ATTTATGTATCGCTTTTGCTTCCTTTGTTTTCTTTTTTCCATTCGAGGCGCTTTTCCTCGACACCAGACATCCCATGCTAAATTGCTCTCTTCGTTAGTCAGCACAACACTCAGCTTTTGCGTTGAATGTTTCTTTGTAATGAAGAAATGAGCGAAAAAGGAGAGTTGATACGTCCTACTGCATTACTGTACTTCGTTTAGAGCGAAAATGCGTGCATATTAAAGTATGTTTAATTAGTTTATAATCCAGTTCTAAATTAGACGCAGGTACGCACTAAGGCCCCAAAATTTAAGCTTCTAGTTTCGACCGAATTTTTTTTATTTATTAGTTCCATCACTTCATTAGTTTTTCAGTGCACTGAAACAACTTTACACTGGGTATCAGAGTGCAGAAAGAGAAATGAGGCGCTGCTTATTGGAAAAAGTGCTCAGACGTCTTAACGACCAGCGTTTTAAGGCAGGCGACCAAGAGGCATGGAGTTTACGAAGAAATTATGTTCATTTTCGTCAAAATTCTTTTTAAATTTTTGTTCCTTCTAACAATAACCGGAAAATAGCTTGAATAGATCGATCCTTTCTACCAAAAAAATGCCCATAGCTTTCTGTTCTGAAGGTTGTTTGATAAGCGAGATGAACTCTTCTTGAGCACAGCTGCTCACCGTTACCAAAGAAATCATGTGAGAATGGGCTGATCGGGTAATGGATTCGGCTTATCGAATTAAATTTGACGTTAGGCATTAGCCGGCAGCATAATTTAAGGAAAGTAAATAGCGACACGCGTCACGATAATTGGTGCGATCATGGGTTTTGAGCAGTTCCGTCCAGCGGACGTTTGTTTATTACAAATATAGCTGTTTTACACTTTCAGATGTGTAAAAATAGTTGATATGCTGTATGGCTCTTAAGTTGAGGAATTTCCCAGTGAAAATTTCACGCGCTGATACATGGAAGCTGAATTTGAAAACATGGGTGGGAAACATCCTTCCAAATTTCAACCTTCTAGTTGTTTTTCTAGAAAGTCACTAACTCTTTTGAGTTAGTGACTTTCGCGTCAAAACTTTCACTTGTTCGTACCTAAAGTTACTGTGTACTTGCGAACTAATTTGAGTTTATGAGGCACCTGCACAGGCTGAAAACGTCCGCCTGAAAATTTCAGTCTTATAGCTCTTTCAATTCTCAAGATAATAATTTTCTCCACCAAAACTTCTGCGAGGCCGCACAAGAGACCCAAGAGTAAATCATTGGTGACGCGCACCAGGCGGGCCCGTGCGATTATGCGTTTTTGCAGTATTTTGTACCATAGTAAGATCGCTCGGAAACCCAGTAGCTAGAATTTATGATATATCAGCCCTCAAAGTTCAGGAAATTAATTGTGCAACTATGTGTCACTTGGGCAGGGAACGTTTCGTTAAAATTTCAACTTTCAAACTTTTCTGGTTCTCATGTTAGCAATTTTCCGGCTAAAACGTTTATGGGGCCGTACGTGACCTACGGGGATATCTGAGGACTGAGTATGAAATCTTCAAGTTGCACATGAGGTGGGAATATCCTCTTAAAATTTCGGCCTCCTAGCTTCCATGGTTCTCGAGTTAACGATTCTCTCGCCAAAAATTTTCACGAGGCCGTACATGAGAACCATGCAACTCGGGGGCTGAGTTTGGAATCTTTCAGTTTTATTTGGACGGGGAATATAATCTCAAAATTACAGTTTTCTAGTTTTTCTGGTTCCCGAGTTAGCGATTTTCATATCAAAACTTTTATCCTCTTGTACGCGGAGCCCAGATTTGCGTGAGATTCGGTACCGCGGTTTTGGGCTGACACTTGGCTGAGGAACCCACTGGCAAAATTTTGGCGCTTGAGGTTGCTGAGTTGAAATACCCGGACAAACAGTCACACACACACACACACACACACACACACACACA